TGAACGACCGAATCGTTTTCCCCCGCTCACCCCCCGACACTTCCCGCGTCCAAGTTTGAAAACAGCGGCCGATCTTGGCCGCCGATCTGCGACGATCGACGGCCAAGATCGGCCGCTTTTCGAACAAGGAAAAGCAGGGCCTGCAGGACCCGGTTTCCGAATTGCGGGTGACGGCCTGCCCCCACGGCGCCTGAAAAATACAACCCCGCCGCCGAAATTTTTTTTTGAGGCCCCAGCGAAAATGCGCTGGGGGCAACCGGGAGGGAACCGGCCCGGGGCACCGGCCGGTCCAACCGGGAGGACACCGGTCAGGGGAGGGCTCCCCGGTCCATCCGGGGACCAGCCCTGCTTTTGGGTGGTTTGAGGTCACTTCTGCTGAAAACTTGATCCCTAACTTTCCTTGATCTGTGTATGTGATTAAACCCTAACCCTAGGCCTCATTCCATGTCTTGGATATTAAGGATGTCCATGTTTGACCTGGTCTGTTCTTCCCTGATATCTTTACTATGAATCTTTGTCTTGCCCGCTTTTTCTTGGGGTCCCTAAACTGCCTGTTTTTAGACTTGGACTTGGTTAACTCTCTAACCTGTGCTCTAACGGAACCGTGCTTTTAGTGGTCTTCTCTACGAGGAGTCCATGTGGATGTTAAAGGATTCGGGGATACTGACTAGTGACTGGGATTCTGCTTGAGGTGCTCTTGTAACTCCTTCCCATATTGTGAAGATCAGACTGTGTCCTTTGATCGTTGCTATTTTACCTTTCGCTAAGTCGTTAGCTTCCAAATTGTTCATGTGTTCTTCGGCTTTGCTTTTGTCCTTTCTCATTTTCCTTCTCACTCTTCGCCACAATACCCAGTATTCTGTTTCCACCTGTTGTTGTAATATACCCCAGGCCTCCCGGGTATGCGTAGGTTGTTTATCTATTGTCTCTTGACATCTCTTCCTCCAAATGGCCCAAAGAGTGGCTTTCCTGAGGATTTGAAACAGATTGTTTTCAATGTTCGTCCACTTTTCTGGCGTGCTGAAGCCTAGCAGTATAAGTACGGGATTTTTAGTGAATTCTACAGTGACTGTCTATTCCCAAATGTTCATAATTCCTTGTCACATGGGTTGTATTTTGGTGGGCATATGAAGAAACAGTGGTAGAGGTCTTCCATCTGGCCCTCTTTACATGTGGACCAAAGTTCTTTAAGTGGGCTTTTATCTTCTTTTCTTGTCCTTACATTTAGCCATTGATTTAGAGGGACTGCGAGGTAGAGAATAAGCCATTGCAGACTTCTGAATTTGGGCGGGTGGATTGTGGTTACTTGGTTCCATGGTACCTGGTTGAAATTTTCCGGGTCCACTTGTAGGTGGTTCCACCATCTTTCTGCTATTACTGGGTCTGGGCATGCTGATCTCCTCCTTAATTTGTATCCCATGCTTGTGCAAGGAATATGAGAGTGAACGATATACAGAAAACCAAGTTGCGAAGTCACACAGATGTCCAGATACTCGTATCCAAGCAGAGAGTACACAATGCACCGAGAAACCATCCATATAGAGCAATACAATGAAGTAATGAGCCAATGTCCAAGCCCGTAGGCCACACCAACACAGTATCCAAAGTCGC